TGCGGGCGGGGGAGACCCGGCCCTCCAGGAGGGCGGGCGGGTTCCTTCGTCTCTTTCTGAGGCGGCTTCGGGGGCTCTTGCTGGCTTCCTCCGCGGCCGGGGCCGCCTCCCCCCCGGGGAGGCCCTGCCGAAGCTCCCGGCGTGGGGGAGTCCCCGGCTTCGAGCAGAGACCCCTCAGCTCGGCCGCCCAAGCGGCGGTGGATGATCTCCCGCCCGCGCCCGGCGGGAGATAATCCACCCCTGAACAGTGGGTTTGGCGCGAATGGGGTTCACTGAGAGAAAAGTGGTGCTGAAAGTGAGGTGGGGTGGGGTTGATACTGGTGTGCGTTGTCAGCAGCAGTTAGTGCCCCAGTAGTGACTGGGTGGACTGTCTACTGGTAAAGCTAAGGTAAGACTATTGGGGGAGAAGTGACGTGCCACGAAGTGGCTGCTGGTGGTCACTCTTGATGCATCCCATTGAAAACTTTTACCTTTTCACCCCCAACACAGTAAATTTTAGACTTTTAGGGCAAGATAATATAAATACTTAGATGTTAAGTGATGATACTGCATAAACAGCACTGCGTATAGAAACTCATTTGATACTGGAGTTCATACACAGCTATCGGATGCTAACACTGATAACGGGGATTTTTTATCAGCCCTATCTGTAACTATCCTGTTATTGCACTTAAAGGATGGAGCGTGTGGTCTTCCCCAACTTTGTCATGTAATGGGAAAAAGCAGATGTGATCATAGGACTTATCAGGTGAAGTCTCAGAAAAGGAGAAGCGCTCTTGATATTGTATGCATCAGTGGCATCTGATGGATCAAATTATGCACAGACATGCAGGAAAGGTGAACGTGATCTTAAGTGGATATGCAAGAGGACATTTAACTTGGTCAGAGTAGTAAAGGATCACACTTTGTCTGAGGGCTGAGCTAAAGCATGGCTGAAATGGTCAGAGTTTTATCTGTAAGTACTTTGAAGAGCAAGCACCAGAAAAAGGGTTCTTTTAGCTGGCTCACAACACAGCAGTAACTGTATGCAAGCTGTGGCCTTGAATGTATGGGGTTGGAAGTTTTCTTACTGAAATGGTTGGGGACTTTCAGTGGGAATAGTTTAGCAGCTCTGCTCTTGAGGTGGAACTTGATCAGTTTGTTAAAAGGGTTTTTACGGTACTGATTGTGTGAAATCATCAGGCTGCTGTTTTGCAGGATAGGGTGAACCCCTCAGCAGCAGGCATACCAAACCAGGAGGTCATTTCTGCCTCCCTCAGGCTCAGCTCTTGTGTTGTGCTGGGTTGGGTGTACACTGGACCTGTTCTGAGGTGATTCAAATTATTAACTCAGCAGAAAACCAACCGGGGAAAAGGTCCCACAAGCCCCTAGTTGATCTGCTGATCAGCTGGGGAATTGAATCAGTTGAGGAAGAGTCTCGTGGGTGCCATAGCAGATGGAAGAAGAGAGGAACAAAGTAGAGGAGCCAGATTCTTCTCTTTTGGTGTGCTTGGTGCTTGTTGGCTTAGCTCAGCCACCTGAGAACTGGCCTAGACCTTTGGTTTCCGTTGTTACTTTATTGTGCTGCAGTAGCACAATTGTGAGATGGAGTAATTTTGTTGGTTGCCTTGTTTTGTTTGTAATTTCACAAGGTATTTTGGATTCGGTTTAGCTACCTATCAGTTCCTTATTGGTGATACAGGAAGGAGAGGGTTGTCAGGTGACATTACATGTCTGCAGAGGGAAAATTTGGTGAACCAGGCATAAGCATGCATAAACACATTAGTAGAAGTACTGTGGTGTTGGTACAGGAGAAGTTCCTCTTTGCTTGTGTTTAATGAACCTCCACATTTAACCCCTTAGAGCATTTTTTTTTTTTCTTTTTAATGTTGCTGAAATATTCAGGTATGTCTTGGTGCCAGAGAGTCAAGACTGATTTTTCAAATGGCAAAATCAGTTTAAATAGTCCAGGAAATACCCCTTACTTTTTTTCTGAAGGACCATGATTTGTTGTCTTTGCCTCTTTTTGTTTGCTTTTTCTGAACAACTACACCTGAAGTAATTTGAGCTTCTCGGATGGAGCGTGGTTTAGGAGCAACATGTCAGGGTGTGTCTTGTTCATGGGATATGTGATAGGAAGGAAAATGAGGAATAGAAACCAGCTGACTGCAGCATTTATCGCTGAAAACTGTAATGATACTCTTGCTAAAGATTCTTCTACGGAAATGCTTTTTGCTTAAGCTTTGAGAAGTATTTTTATGTGACAGTTGGAAGCTTTTAATGTGTCGTTCTTACGTTGCAGTTATTCAGGCCTGAGATGGCAAAGAGAGAGAAAACAGCCAGTATGTTAAGGAATGTATCAGCCCAATGCAATGCTGAAAAAGCATGGGATGTCCCCTAAGAGATCCATCCTAGTACATTAACATCTCCATTTCCTTTCCATTGTAGCCACACCGGTTGATGCTTGCAGTGGGAAGATGCCACTTGACCGATTTTTAGTCCTAGGAACCTCTGTTTTATGCCAGGGATTAGCAGGATTAGGATTTTCCATGAAGTAAGCAAAGCAACAGGTAGAAAGAACCAAGTCACATGGAAATCGAAATCTACAGTGAATGTGGTAGTGTTACATCTTTTGCATCAAGTCAAATATCTAGGAAGATTTAACATTTTCTTCTAGCTGATCTTGGGGCTTGTGTGGGATTTTTAACATATCCGGCTAGTCACATTGCTCTTTGAGTCTTTAATTTAGTAGCTACTAGCAGATGTGGTGAAGAGAGTATCACCACACAGAGCATCTCGTAAGTATATTTGCATGCAGTTTCATCCTTCACGTATGTGTGAACAGTTGGGAAGAGCTACTTGACAAAGACAGGATACTTTGTGTGCGAGGAGTAAGTATTTGGAAATAATTGATTTGTAAGACCTAACCAAAATGCTTGGAACATATTTAAACGTTAACCTAGGTGAGCTGGTCAGTATGAGAAAGAGACTTTATATGATTATTTCTTTAGTTACTAACCATTGGATTTTAACTTTTTTCAGTTTTGGGTGAGGATTGTCAGGCATATATTGATCGTCATGGCAAGGCACAACCTGCAAAATCCTGTCCCAGCTTCTGCTGTGGAGATTGCATGCGTCGATACTGTTGCTCTAACACGTTCTTAAAATTTGATGAAGAACAACAATTTCAGTGTAATCTGCTTGATGAAAGGTATGAGGCAAACTGAATGTATACAGCAGGTTATCATTCTATCATCACATGACAAAAATACACAGTTTAATGGTTAGAAACTTAGAAAGGGACCTTCCAGCTCTGTATCTGGCTCTGTCGGGTACCTATGTTAATGTATGTAACTTACCTGTAAAATGGGAGCAATGAGGTGACAAATTGATGCATGAACTGGTGTGTGTTTTCTTGAGCATTTTCAGATACTTTTACCCTATTCAGTTTTTCTTTGAGGATGAAAAAATTAATCTCTTTCTCTTTGTAGCTTACAGTACCTTTCATAAGCATTTGGAAGTTAGCCAGGTACTTGAATAAGTCGTAAATTCCATTTTTGAGATGAATTCTCTTACTACAGGACCTCTGACTCAAGCAACATAAATTACATGCATGTTTTTTCGGACCCTGATGATTACATTTCTTCTGGCTCCAGGTAAGCCATGCAAAGCCTCAGCTTTTAAAATGGTATTTATTTAGAAGTTCTTCATTGTGTAATCAATACATGCCAGTAGAATATGGAAATAGAAATACTTATTTGTGCGTTAAGAACGCGGAGCACTCAAACTCCGTGTACGTGTTGGAATATCTGAAGAAGCAGAGACATGCAGGGGAGGTTAGATTGTGCTGTTTAGACCGTAACGATCGCTGTACGTAATAGTCTGTTCTCACCACGGAACGGGAGGTTGTCCTCTAAAGCATCAGTGCACTTGCTCTGTACCCTTCGATACTGGCAGATGAAGTCCATAAGAGAAGCTGCTTTTGTTTGAGGTATTTCCTTGCTTTTTAGCATCTTTTTCGCTTAGAACAAGAAATACTGATAAAAACTATTTCAGTCTCAGGGGAAATAAATTAAGGCCATGCATTAAATTGGTGATTACAAGAGTCCTGCTGTACAACGCTTCTATTTTTCATAGCGTGGAAGACGACAAAGAGAGGACAGGGGTTAATTCTGAGCTATGAATATTCCATATGCGTGCAGAAGTTTGAATAATTAATTCCTCCGGGGGGTCACAGAAAAGGGGGAACTCGGACCCTCGGCGGGGGCGGGCGCACGGCGGAAGGCGCGCGGCAGCCCGCGGCCGTCGCTGCGGCGGCCTTTAAGGGCGGGGCGAGCGGCGTGACGCCAGCGGGGGGGCGGAGCCGGGC